GACTGTACGACGCGATCCTGTCTGGGAAACTTCCGCGTGGCGCCTGCGCGACGCTGAGGAGCGGGCCTCACGCGAGATGGCGCAGCGGCCGCGCGCGGTTGCCTGCGCGCGCCGCGCGGCGCGGCACGCCGCACCCACCACAAGCGAGGGCGCGCACGCGCGGCCTGGCGCGGGCAGCTTGCGCACCAAGGTGGGCGAGGACGGCCCTGTCTGCGGGCAGTGTCGACATCCACATCCAGGGCGTCTTGGAGTTTCGGGCTCTCTCTCCCCAGAAGCATGAGGCGCACTGGAGATGGATTAAAATCTGGCCCCAAAAGGCCCGATGCTTAGGAATACCCAGTGCGCCTCGGCCTTGCGGCGCCCCTTCCAAGAAAACCCGAGACGCACTGGATATGGATACAAATATTGCCCGCACCGTCTTCTGCCGTCGCTCACCTGCCTCGCCATCGCTCGGACGTCCATTCCCCGTGCACTTTGCGACTTCGTGCGTCTCTACTCTCGTGAAATAGAAAATGAAAGAACGGCACAAACATAAACTTCTGGCGCTCTGCGCGGATTTCTTGGATCTGCGCTGGACCCCCCCTCCCTGGCGCGCGGAGCAAGCGGGGGGCGGCGCCGGAGTCGCCACCAGGGGAGCCCCAGCGCGGATCCAAGAAATCCGCGCGGAGCACCCAAACTTTTTGTGTATCCAGTTTCTTCTTCTTCTCGCTCTTCTTAGTATGCATATTAATACTAGTGATAGTATTACTCATATTGTTACTCGTGGTATTGATATGATTGGTATGGATACTATGTTTTCCTTTTCTTCTAGCAAGATGAGGCAAGATGCTCCTCGATGGACCTCGCCGAGAAAAAATGCACGCGTCCGCGCGATGCCAAGCTGCTCGCAGGCCTCGCGGGGACGCCAGCGCGCGCCGCTTGGCCTGCGCCTGCGGCCCAGGAGGGGTGGAAAGGACTCGCCCCCGAATGTTCGGCGCCCCAGCGCCTCCTCCTCCTCCTCCTCCTCCTCCTCTCCTCCTCCTCCTCCTCCTCCTCCTCCTCCTCCTCCTCCTCCTCCTCCTCCTCCTCCTCCTCCTCCTCCTCCTCCTCCTCCTCCCCTCCCCCTTCCCTCCTCCTCCTCCTCCTCCTCCTCCTCCTCCTCCTCCTCCTCCTCCTCCTCCTCCTCTCCTCCTCCTCTCCTCCTCCTCCTCCTCCTCCCTCCTCCTCTCCTCCTCCTCCTCCTCCTCCTCCTCCTCCTCCTCCTCCTCCTCCTCCTCCTCCTCCTCCTCCTCCTCCTCCTCCTCCTCCTCCTCCTCCTCCTCCTCCCTCCTCCTCCTCCCTCCTCCTCCCCCTTCCCCTCCTCCTTCCTCCTCCTCCTCCTCCTCCTCTTCCTCCTCCTCCTCCTCCTCCTCCTCCTCCTCCTCCTCCTCCTCCTCCTCCTCCTCCTCGTCTCCTCATCCCTCCTCTCCTCCTCCTCCTCCTCCTCCTCCTCCTCCTCCTCCTCTCCTCCTCCTCCTCCTCCTCCTCCTCCTCCTCCTCCTCCTCCTCCTCCTCCTCCTCCTCCTCCTCCTCCTCCTCCTCCTCCTCCTCCTCCTCCTCCTCCTCCATTCCTTCTCCTGATAAAAATAACTTCTGCCTGTCGCACCCCGAAGCCACTTTTGAGGGCGGGCCGGGCGTTTCGCCTGAGATTTCCTCACCGCGTATGACCTTGAAACTTACAAAATGGCAACAGTTCCACAGATGGAGGACGGGTGGTTTTCAAAATGTGGCTGTCGCCTTAGCGCATCACACATTCGTTTTCAAAAATTTCACGAGTTTCACGGATTGAGTGCAAGCGGCTTGCAAAAATGTTGCTCTCGCCTGAGCGCCGCGCACCTTCGCTTTCAAAATTTACAAGAGCTTCACGGATTGAGGGCGGGTCGTTTCCAAAATGTGGTTCTCGCCTTATCGCCTTAGCGCCGCGCACATTCGTTTTGACATCTTGCAAGAGCTTCACGGATTGAGGGCGGCTCCCTTTCAAAATGTGGCTCTCGCGTTTGCACCGCGCACGTTCTTGTTTAAAAATTGTGAGGGCTTCACGGATTCCCATTATCGACGTACCAGAAGCGTTGTTTTGGAAGGACTCACGAGTTATGAGGGCGCAACAGATACTATGATTCGTGGTGTTGAAGTCCCAGGAATGGCGTTCTGGCACGATTCAGGATCGTCAAAACGCAACGGTCAGGTTTATCCGTGGCGTTGGAATCCGCCGATCCGGCGTTGCGAGTTCAGGGGGGGAACCGAGGTGGCTCTGCCGGCGTAGGGGGAGGGGAAGGGGGGGGGTCCGGTGGCGCGGGTTCCGGTGGCGTGAGGGGGGGTCCGGTCCCCGTCCCGCCTGCTGACAAGGGGAATTGGGGGAAGGGGGGGGGTCCGGTGGCCTGGGTGGCTCTGCCGGGGTAGGGGTGTAGGGGGGGCGGGGTCTGGTGGCGTGGGTTCCGGCGCTGTGGAGGAGAGGGGGGGTTCCGGTTCCCCGTCCCGCCTGCAGACAGGGAGAATGGGCGGAAGAAGGGGGGAGGGGTGTCCGGTGGCGTGGGTTCCGATGGCGTGGGGGAGGGGAAGGGGGGTTCCGTGGTGTGCGAATTCGAAAAAGCCTCAGCTACAGCTCGAAGCTGAGCTTCAGCCTCTGGGGGAGTTGCTGGGGTGGCTCTGCCAGGGAAGGAAGGGAGGGGGGGGCGTGCGCGCGTGCGCGGGGTAATGTTTGCCCGTACGCGCGAGAAGAGAATCGAGGAAAGAGGGAGAGAGAAGTGGAACGGGACAAGAGCGCAAAACTGGGAACAAATGGGGGGGAAGACGGAGGTGGCGGCGAAATGCGTGTCTATTGTGTGGTGTGTGTGTGTGTTTGTGCGGTGCGCGTGGTGTGTGTATGTGTGTGTTGCCGGCGTGTGAGTGTGTATATGCCTGCGAAGGTGGCGCGCGTGTGTGAATGTGGTGAGTGTGTGTCTGTCTGTGCGTGTGTGTGAATGTGTGTGTGTGTGTTGTGTGTTGTGTGTGTGTGTTGTGTGTTGTGTGTTGTGTGTTGTGTGTGCGTGCGTGCGTGCGTGGGTGTGTGTGTGCGCGTATGCACGTAATGTCTGCGAGCGTGTGCGCGCGTGCCTGTCGGCGAAGTGTCGCCGCCCAGTCTGGGGGGCACACCAAGCGACCCGTATCGGCGGCACTGGCCGAAGGCCACTACAATACCGAGAACAATGTTTTGGCATGCTTCAGGATCCTCAAACGGTTGTCTTCCAACGAGGCAGGTCCATATGTGGAAATGAACCGTTGTAAGGGGCCTACGAAGAGGAAGCTTGGGGGAGGGCTTATTCCAACATCTTTGGTGACTCTTGGGTTTACACTGGTCCTCCTCCTCCTCCTCCTCCTCCTCCTCCTCCTCCTCCTCCTCCTCCTCCTCCTCCTCCTCACCCTCCCCCGCAGCACGCCGAGACGTGTCTCGCGCGATGCCTCAGGGCTGTCTGGCCCTCGGCCCCTGGGGGGGACGCTTCGGCTTCGAGTCTCGAGGCGCTCGGACGTTTCCGCCAGTTCTCCGCAGCTCTCCAGCCTCGGGGTGCCTTCCAGCTGCTGCGCCGGGAGCGTTTTTCTGGGGGTGCCCGGGGCGCCCCCGAACGGCCGCCAGAAGCCGAGTTCTTACCCAGAAACCCTGGACACCCTCGGGTTGTGAAAAAGCACGACGGCAGGTTTCGCAATATCTTCGGCCCCTGGGTGTCCTCACCGGGCCTCGGGACCGTCCAAAAAACGACTCAGCATACCGGTCCCGGGGAAGGAGCCCAGACCTCTGGGGGTCGAGGTTGCGAAAAAATATCACGATGTCGGGGGTCTTGGCGCCTCAGTTACTCAGATCCACAACGATGCCCTTCTTTTTTCGGCGGCGAGCCTGGGGGGCAAGTGGACAATGGCGGGCCTGCTCAGAGGACTCGGAAGGCCTCTGGCCTTCCGAGAAGTGTCTCAGAAGGCCAGACGGCTTCTCAGAAGCCCCGCCGCCTTCTGAGAAGGCCTCCTCCTTCTTACTCCCACTCCGAGCGCGCGCCACCGATTCTTTCAATCAGCGCGTTCTCCCCGATTTGGGCCTCTGGGTCCCGAGATCGGGCCCCCGGGAGCACAAAAAAACGGGTCCGCGACGAAAGAGCCCCACTGGGGAAGCGGTCGGGACCCCTGGGACCGTGGACAGAAGAAAGCACACCGGCGGATTTCAGGATTTCAATCTCGAGCGCTGCGACATCGCAGGTTGAAGGACTGCATCGACCACGCGCCCCGCCGCCCTTCCAATCCTCAGACGTGCACCTGCCATTGGCCCAGCTGGCCCGCAGCCCGAGCGAAGCACATGCTCTGCTTAGGCTGGGATCGTGCGCTTGTCGCAAGTGTGGACACGCGTTCAGTCCCTCCCCACGGGCTGCGGCCAGATCTCCTCTCTTTCCCACCGCCAGCATACGCATTGCAGCGAAGCACTGTAATGATCAAAGGCTCTGGATCTGAAGGAGCAGGCAGGGAGGCGAAGAGGCACCAGCCGGTCCGGCGGTGCACGTCAGTTGCGGGCACGGGTCGGACCTGCAAATGCAAGGGGGCCACGCCCGGAAGATGAACGGATCGCCTGGCGAAGGGCCGCGGCGTCGAAAACTCCCGTGGCAGAAAATGGCCTGCCGGGCGCACAAGATGAGCCCGACCAGTGCTGTGCGTTCGCTCCCCCCCCCCCACTCTCCGTGGGCATCTGGGGCATCAACGTACTGGAAACAAATTCTTGCCGCAGGCGCCTGGGGCGTCCCAGACAACTGCGGGCAACTTCTAACCTACGACGCATTATAACTGCGTGCATGCCTGTACGAGCACGCAGAACTCTTTATTTCGCCTACGCGTCCGCCAGGGATGCACGGCCGCAGTCAGTCAGACAGCCAGGCGTCTAATTCTAGGACTCGACGGCTGGACGCAGCTGGAAGATTCTCACCAGTGAGAGCCTCGCAGCGCGGCGACCGGGCGGTAGGTCCTTGGGACGCTCAAGGACACTTCAGGCAGAGGTCCAGGTTCCCGTCGTGCTCAATTATCTTCTTGAAGGATTCCTTGCACGCCACGAATATGTATGTATATACATACATATATATATACACACATACATATACACACAAACACCCTCCGACGAAATTTGCATTGAGGGTGGCGGTGTATAAAGACGCTGGCCCTCCATTGAAGCTTATACACCGCCGCCCTCCCCTGAGGCCCAGGAACAATCCAGTGGAGGGTGTCTGTGTATAGTAGAAAAAACTTCCAAAAACATAACCTTTTGGCGCTCCGCGCGGATTCTTGGATCTGCGCTGGACCCCCTCACTGGCGCGCAGAGCGCGCCAGGGGCGGCGCCGGAGGCGCCGCCAGGGGGGGCCCAGCGCGGATCCGAGAAAGCCGCGCGGAGCGCCGAAGCTTATGTCTGTGGCATTGCTGCTTCTTCTTCTTCTTCTTCTTCTTCTTCTTCGAGTGGCGGGCCTTGATGAGCTCGTGCTGCCGGCGAATATGGGAGATGTCCGGCTTGGCCGTGAACTTCAGGGACTTGCACCTGCAGTTCGGGAGCGGCGCCGTCGCCCGCATCACCGCCTCGCGCTCGTGCACGCTGTCGCCCAGCGAGAGCACGTTCTTCGGCCTGCCCGGGTCGTGGGCGGACGTCCCGTGCGCGGCGGCGGCGGCGTCGTCGTCGTCGTCGTCGTCGGCGGCGGCGGCGGCGTCGGCGTCGTCGTCGTCGTCGCCCGCATCGTTTGCCGGCGGCGGCGGCGCTTTTTCGGCCTGCCCGGGTCGTGGGTGGACTTCCCGTACGCGCGCCGGATCTCGTGCTCGAAGGCGCGCAGCTTCCAGCGCTGCGGGTCTGAACCCACCTCGCACTCGTAGCTGGAGCGGGCGGACACGATGCGGACGCACTCAAGCAGCGGTGCCAGCTCGGGCAGGAACTTGTGGCAGGTCAGCTCGACCCAGCCACGCTCCGCGTTGGTTATGATCACGACCTGGCCACACTCCTTGGCAGAGCGGATGGTGTCCAGCGTGACCTTCGCGATCTCGGCGAGCCGCTCGCGCTGAGAGGCGGTGACGTCGTCGCGCCCCCTGTCGAGGCGCAGCCTCTGGGCCGACACCCAGGACGACGGCAGGATGGTGTCGTCCCAGTCGAAGATCAGGAGCGTGTCCTCGAGCGCGAACTCGGTGACCGCCCCAGCATCCTCGGAGGGGGCCCGCTCGGAACCCGCGCCCGCGACGTGGTGGAGGTTGGAGCCCAGCTGGCTCACCTCTTGTGGGAGGGCGCCGGGTGCCCACCTCAAGATGTGCCCCTTTTCCTCCTCCTCCTCCTCCTCCTCCTCCTCCTCCTCCTCCTCCTCCTCCTCCTCCTCCTCCTCCTCCTCCTCCTCCTCCTCCTCCTCCTCCTCCTCCTCCTCCTCCTCCTCCTCCTCCTCCTCCTCCTCCTCCTCCTGTTCCTCCTCTCCCTCCTCCTCCTCCTCCTCCTCCGCCTCATCATCATCATCATCATCATCATCATCATCATCACATCATCATCATCATCCATCATCATCATCATCATCATCATCATCATCATCATCATCATCATCATCATCATCGTCATCATCATCAGCATCATCATCATCAGCATCATCATCATCATCATCATCATCATCATCATCATCATCACCCTCCCCCGCAGCACGCCGAGACGTGGCTCGCGCGATGCCAGAGGGCTGTCTGGCCCTCGGCCCCTGGGGGGGACGCTTCGGCTTCGAGGCTCGAGGCGCTCGGACGGTTCTGCCAGTTCTCCGCGGCTCTCCAGCCTCGGGGTGCCTTCCAGCTGCTGCGCCTCGCCGGGGGCGTTTTTCTGGGGGTGCCCGGGGCGCCCCCGAACGGCCGCCAGAACCCGAGCTATGACCCAGAAACCCAGTTCCCCTCGCGCTGCGAAAAAAGCACGACGGGAAACTTGTCCCTAATTTCGGCCTCCAGGGACCCTTACAGGGCCTCGGGACCGTCAAAAAAAAGACTCGGGGTAAAAAACTGGTCCGGGGGAAGGGGCCCCGACCTCTGGAGGTCGACGCTGTGAAAAAATCACGACGTCTGGGGTCTGGGAACCAAGGGATGGCAGATTGAGCAAGTCTTCTTTGAGGCCCCCCCTCCCGCCCCCGCTCGCCACGCAGTGGCGCCTGAAGACTCTTTCGAAGCTTCCAGGCACGGCTCAGGAAGGCACCAGGTCCCACCAAGACGGCATGGTCAAGCACAGCATGAGGAGGCAACGACCAGCCTCCAAAAAGGCCTCAAGGGGCCCCAAAGTGGCCCCAAGAAGCTTCCAAGACACAGGAAAGAGGTCAAGATGCCTTCCAGGAAGGCCCAATAACACCCGAGAGCCATGGGAAATCAAACTGTTCGCGTTTACCAGCTCTCTCGGCTGAAGAGGGTTCCCAGAAGGCTTGTGAGGGCCAACAGGAATCAGAAAAAGCAAAATAAGGGCCCTGAGAGGAGCCCCCAAGACGACACAGGACAGCACCAGAAGGCCCCCTTAACACGGCCCAAGAGAGACCCATGACAGCCCAATGGGGCCACAAGAAGGTCCAAGAGGGCCCCAAGAGGCCCGCAGGACAGCCCCAGAAGACTCCCAGGCCAAGAGGGTCCCAAGATTGCACAAAGACGGCCCAAGAGAGAGCCCGAAGACGGCCCCAGTGGCCGAAGAGGGCACCGAGCGGGCACCAGGCGGGCCACAGCGGGCACCACAGGAGCGCAAGACAGCCCCCAGACGGCCCAGGTAGCCCCCATGAGAGCCCCTCAGAAAATACAGCGGGGGCCAGTCCACAAGAAACCCTCCACAAGAAACCCAACCCTGAGACCCCAGGACGTCCATTCATTTGTGGTGTGGGAACGTCGCGCTCTCCATCGCAAAACCATCGACACCCAAGAAACCCAGGGCACCCCGGAGGCAAGCAGGGTGCTTCTTGGCATGTGCCCCCACTGCAGAGGGGCGAGAGGTGCCACGTGCCACGGCCTTCTGGGCGGTGCTCCACGCGTCGTCACAGTGAGCGCTGCGCTGGAGCGGGGGCGGCCGCGGGCGGCTGGACATATCTACACCGATACCGGCCAGGCCGCCCAGGATCGATGCGTACGGTACGCCTCCCTGGCTGGGCCAAGAAGACGCACGCACCGATCCTGGGCCCAAGACCGGCCTGGCTAGGGTCAGTGTCAGAGTATGCAGGGGAACACGGAGGTTTCCCACATGGGGTCGGAGCAGATGGGGCCGGAGGATCGCGCCGCATCGATGCATCGGCGATGCATCGGCGACGCCAGCGCGGAGGGAATGGGGCTCCACATCGAGCCACATCGGCAATGCATCGGCAATGCGTCGGCGATGCATCGGCGATGCGGTGCGACTCTCCGACCCCATCTACTCGGACCCCATTGGGGAGGTCTAGAGAGCAACAAGTCGACGACACGCAAGAGTGACCCTGGGTAAGAGTGACCTTTGGTGCGCGGCTTTTTGGGGGCCGCGGGGGGGCAACTACAAGCGCACAAGACGCTGCCACCGCATCGCGTTCGGCGATCGGGAACCCCGGTGAGCCCGCACCAAAGGTCACTCAGGCAAAAGGCCACTCCTACGTGTAGTCAGAACAAGGGACCGACACCGCTCATTACTCCCCGGACCTGACCCGCGGTGCGTTCAGACAAGGGCTTCGAGGAGAATCCGGCCGTGGCGGCGAGGGCCCTCCCGGACGAGCAGCGGCGTCGGTGCCTTCTCTCCCCCTCCGAGTATACCCGGCGTCCTCCTCCTCCTCCTCCTCCTCCTCCTCCTCCTCCTCCTCCTCCTCCTCATCATCATCATCATCAGCAGCAGCAGCAGCATCAGCATCAGCATCAGCATCAGCATCAGCATCAGCATCATCATCAGCAGCAGCAGCATCATCATCCTCATCAGCATCAGCATCAGCATCAGCATCAGCATCATCATCATCATCATCATCACATCATCATCATCATCATCATCATCATCATCATCATCATCATCATCATCATCGTCATCTCATCCTCCTCCTCCTCCTCCTCCTCCTCTCCATCATCATCATCATCATCATCATCATCATCATCATCATCATCATCATCATCATCATCATCATCATCATCATCATCATCATCATCATCATCATCATCATCATCATCATCATCATCATCATCATCATCATCATCATCATCATCATCATCATCATCATCATCATCATCATCATCATCATCATCATCATCATCATCATCATCATCATCATCCTCCTCCTCCTCCTCCTCCTCCTCCTCCTCCTCCTCCTCCTCCTCCTCCTCCTCCTCCTCCTCCTCACTCCTTCTCCCGTCCGACCGTGCTCGAGGCGACGCAGTGGACTCCTGCAGCTGCGTCGGCCGCGAGGTCGCCGCCCTGCGGCGCGTGGCCGCCCTCGGCGCCAGCCGCCCTGGGCGCCAGGGGCGGGGGCTGCGTGGCCTTACGATTAGGGGGATCGACGACACAATCGATTTACCCCACTATGGATATCCTCGTCGAATCTACGAAGAGTGCGCAGCCTCGCAGATCTGCGAGCACTCTGCGTACTTGCTGGCAGGTTCGACGACCGTCTGAGTTTTCGGGGTGAATCGATTCTGTAGTCCATCTCCTACTCGAGCCTTTACCGCCACGTGCTCCGCGGCCGCCCACGCGGGCGCGACCTCCTCGTCCACGGGAGACGGCGGCACACGGCCACCGGCCACACGCAGGAGGTGGCCCCTGGCGCCAAGAGTGACCCGTGGAGCGCGGCTCGCCGACTGGGGCACGCGGCGCGACAACGACGGCCTGCGCCCCTGGCCTTGGCCCTCCCGCGCTCTCGGAGAGCCGCTCCCCAGAGGCCCCTCCGGCGAAGGGTCCCTCCTAGACGTGCAGCCGGAAGCCACCCCTGGGCCCCGGGGCCCCGGCCTCAGCCGGGGCGCCTGGGCACCACCCCCGGGGCCCAGGACGGTGCTGGCCAGGAACGGCGGCGGCGGCGGCGGCGGCCGACGCTGCGAGATGGTTGGCAGCCTCGCGAAAAGACGCAACCGGGGCCCTGGCCAGGGCCAGCCCTGGACCTCAGGCCCAGGCGGGCCCTGGCAGGGGAAGGTGGCGGGGGTGGTGCATTTACAGCCCCTGACGCCCGCCGATCTTCCCCTCCTCTTCCTCCTGGTCCTCCTCTTCCTGGTCCTCCTCCTCCTCCTCCTCCTCCTCCTCCTGCTCCTCCTTCTCCTGAATCAGCGGCCCCAGGGGTCCCGACAACTGCCCTGGGAGTATAGGTCTTGCGTGCACCCGGTCCATGTTGGATGGCCCCGGGGGAGGCCTGACGTCGGCCCCCAAAGGCCAACACTGATGAGCGACGCGGGGGCTGGAAAACTGCAGCCGAGCCATGCGGTGAGGACTCGCGGTGTGCTGAGCAATCAAAGTACCCCCAAGCCTTTGGGAGAGGATCTAAGATAGCAGGGCCAGGAAACTTCAGGGATAGGGGGTCTTGCCTGCAGATGTCTCAGACCAAACCGCCCAGATCTATTATCCCTAATGCGGAGAAGGGGGCCCAAGTGAGGCCACGTCTTCATCGCGTTACTTGGGTAGTGGCCCCGCTGTTCTCGATGACTGCAAGGATGCAGGAGCCTCGGAGAGCCACGTTGACGTTTGTTCAACGAGGCTGGCCAGCGAAAGTCGCCAAGGATGGGCCGAAGGGGCAAGGCTGCAAAAGAGCAACCTTGGAGAACCGCTCACCCTTGCTGGTGTGCGCTGACCGCATATACCGTCGGAGACCCGGGGCGCCTCCCGCGGGCCGTTCTGGGAACCCACCGAGGACGCACGCGCCCAACCATGAACGGCAGGTTCGTGTCGTGGCGACTTCGGCGCTGGTCTCTTACATCGAGGGGACAGTTCAACATTGAACGATCGGCCGTTTCCGAAACGCCAGATCGTTCAACGTCGACCGATTCTGGGTCGCCAGCGGCGCTCAACGTTGAACCCTGGCGGCGGGGTAGCCGCCGGTCGACACGACACGACCCTGCCGTACATGAACACGGCCCCCCAATCCGCGAGACCAGCCGCGTGACACGAACGTGGGCGCAATGCGCACTCTCGAAACCAACGTGGATCCATGTACGCGCATACGTCCCTTTGTCGCTCCGGATCCTTGGCGCACGAGGTGTCCAAGCTGATCGTGTCGGCGATCACGGAGCACAGCGGCATCGCCTTCAGCGCCGGGCCCTTGAGCCACTCGCCGGCCTGCTCGCGCATGCGGCTGAGGCGCTCGTCGACGATGCCCATGGCGAGAGGCCGCAGGAATGGCCGAGGGCGGCCGCCGTTGATGGAGAGAGAGGCCCTGAGATCTGGGCGTTGCAGATTTGTCACCACAAACCCCCTCGCCTTGTGAAAAAATAGCGGCGGGAGGTTTTCCGCTAATTTCGGCCTCTGGGGGCCCTTGCCGGGCCTCGGGGCCGTCAGAAAACGACTCAGGATGAAACACCAGTCCTGAGGAAGGGGTCCAGACCTCGGGGGGTCAAAGTTACGAAAAATCACGACGTCACTGATCTGGGAAGCCGGGCGATTTCGCCTGGTGTCGCGCCCCGGGGCCCTCGCGGATCGATGCGGCTCGAAAAATGCCGCAGAGAGTGGGGGGTCTAAAGCTCTGGTCTTGATTTTTCGCGCAGCTTGAGGATATCGTGCGGGGCGTGCTCCAGAACATGAACATGCCGTAGACGGATCCACCCTTCTCCGAACTTGCAAGGCGCCGAACGCAACGGCCGCGTTGTCTATAGACGAGTTCACTCCGAATGTGTCTATGCATGTAACATATCCAATGTGTCTGTGAACGCGTGTGGCTAGAAGGTGAGAGCTGTATTTGGCACAGGCCCCAGATAGTCGTATTCTGCAAGCAGGTAGACTTTGCCCTCCAAAAGATGTTGCAATTGTTTCGCAGCAAAGCTGGATCTCAGGGGAGGCGATCCAGAGACCCACGGCCGCGGTACTTCGCAGCGCGGCACTGCGGGAACTTGAGCCAAAAGTGGATGGGGGCGCACAGAACTCGACTGCGTGTGCGAACGGGGAACAGGCGGTCGACGCCTCCTCTTCCTCAACCTCCCCCTCCTCCTCCTCCTCGTCCTCCTCCTCCTCCTCATCCTTCTCCTCCTCCTTTTCCTCGTGTTCATCATCCTCCTCCTCTCCTCCTCCTCCGCCTGCTCCTCACGTTCCCACTCCTTCTCAATTGGCCCGTCCTCCTCCTCCTGCTCCTGCTCCTCCTCCTCTTTCTCCTCCTCCTCCTCCTCCTCCTCCTCCTCTTTGTCCTTCTCCTCCTCCTCCTCGTCCTCCTCCTCCTTATCCTTCTCCTTCTCCTCCTCCTCCTCCTCCGAGTCCGACTCCAACAGTGAGGTTGTGACTCCAGTAAAGGCAGAATACTATTTGTAGACCTTCTGATCGGTCATGCAGCCGTCGCCTTCGTGTAGGCACTTACGCTTTCCACGGGGCCCCGTTCCGTCCAACTTGTCGTTAAAAACATACCAGAGGTCCTCGTCCAATTTGCGATAGTCGTCTTCATCGAACTCCGATGTCCCTCTCGTGCCGTCTTCTTGCTTCTCACTCTGCGACGTGTTGGTGTACTCGCTTAATGTTAACCTCCCGCTCATGAGTTGTATCATATTGTCTTGTTATTCATCGGGGAACGCCCCAAACATGGTTTCGAATGCGTTCCGATGTCCTGCGGACTTCCGTTAACCATTCACCAGGGCTAGCGCATTCAACAATGTTTCGCTCCAATACGTGATTATAATCCGGTCAGCCAAAAACGCTTTCATCGGTTGACCCGCGAACAAACTTGTATTCGCTCACTGGTTTGCCTCCGCCTCCTCCGGCACTGTGACCTCTTCTTCTTGTGAAAAGATGCCTTGTATGGGGACTATGAGGGGGGAGCCTTGGGACGGAAGGGTACACTGCAGCATCGCTAACGCATCTTTGGTTCACTCTGGCCCTGCTCCTCCTCCTCCTCATCCTCCACCACCACGGGAGCCGTCGCACTGCCAGCGACTGCATCAGGCAGTCGGCCGATGCCAGCCGCGACAGCCCGTCGCCAGCATGCTGGCGCAGCGTCCGGTAGGCATCCTCGGGCACTCCGCCGCTGCGGTGCGCCGCTTCCCGTAGGTCGGGCATGTCCCGCTACAGGCGGATTTTGGAGGGAACGTAAAAATTGGCAAACAAAATCAAACATGATACAAAATGGTAGAAAAATCGTCCCCAGGCCATTTTTTTACTACTTTTGAGTTTCCCTCCTGTAGAGGGACATACCCGACTTAACGCTTCCACCCAAGCCACCCTCCGCAGGGGTGCGCGGGACGACCCCGCACCACGGATCCTTGGAGAAGCACTGCACCAGGCCGCGCGCCCGCGCGAGGAGCAGGAAGTCCGCCAGCGAGCCCCAGAGGCGCTGGGCGGCGTCCTCGCAAGGCGGCGGGGGCGAGGATGAGGAGGAGGAGGAGGAGGAGGAGGAGGAGGAGGATTTGTTGTTCCCATCGACCAGGGTGCAGCCCACATACACTTCCCAGGGTGGGCGAGGCCCCGAGAAGGAAACCTGAAACTGCTCCAAACCAAATCGCGCTGGACAATTGAAATGGCTGGAACAGCGAGGTGCGTCACGCACTGTGCACACGCGACTTAGCACCTCACAGATGGCAAAACGTGTTTAAACCAACGGAGACACCAGCCTTTTTAGGATGGAGCCCCTTTTTCAAATTAATCCACGAATTACTATGTGTGGCCACCTTGCCTGGCTCACATTTTTTGCCGAGGTTCCGAAGTTGGCCCCCCGACGTCATATAGCCGCACTTGTGGCAAATACACAAAAAAGGAGCCGTCACAACAGTCGAGCAGCACAACAACATGACCAAGCTCACGAAGTCTGGTCGGAGAAACCTTCAGCACATATAAGCACTTCCCTCCAGGAGGCTCCTTCGAAAGAACGCCGCGCCTCCCACGAAGACACGCAGCACATTACCAATAATTGCCGACCCAACTCCACTGATGCATATCCTTCCTCTCCCCCTGCGGATCCTCCACAAAAGGGGGCGGGACACGCTGAACATTGGGGCCTAGAGTGAGGCGAGGCCACAGAGCAAGCAGCTTCGCCCCGAGACGGCCCACGGCCCTGGCCACAGCACAATCACGGTCAAGGCCCTCGAGATCGGACGGAGACGGCATCGGATGCAAAAGTACCGCTTCCTTGGCCGTCCTGTCGGCCCAATGATTGCCTTGCCGCAAATATCTATCACGGTTGTCTGTAGCAGCTTGGACGCCCAGGTGGGCTCTAACCTGTTCCAGCTGCACATTCGACCAATGATCACGCAGATGCTGCGCCATGCCACTGTACATGCGTTTGCCTGAGACCAATTCAGGCCAAGGGAGGCGCGCAAAATCCACGCAGCCTTGACAACCAGAAAAAATCGTGGAAGGGCCAGTCGCCCATTGCACTGCAGCAGGCATGGCGTGATACTCTGCTGCATAGGGCGTCTGAGGGCACGGCGCCCACACTGGACCTTTGACCCGAACGATAACATTGCCAGTTTCTCTCAAGACGGCCACAATCGACGACCCAGCTCTGTTAACATCTCCCACCAGGCAGCGAGTACACGAGCCATCGACGAACAGGTCACCCTCGAAAGAACTGTGGATGTTCCCCTCCTCCTCCGCCCACTCCACCAAGATGCCCCCAGACTTGAGAGGCGGCGGGAAGTCGGAGGGGAAGGGGAAGACGCCGTAGCAGGCCAAATTGTCGTCTGCCTTAGCTGCCCAGTCTTGGAGATGTTGTTTGACGAGTTTGTCCCTTAGCTCCACCACCTCAGGGTCACGGAACCCCCACAGGCGGTGTCTAAGGGTGTGTAAGCCTTCGCCACACAGCGGGCAGACCGTCGTGGGCAGCACGTAACCTACGCTGGCGGCTCTCTGACGGATATAAATGGCCTGGCAAACAAAGCGCGCAGACAGCTTTTCTGATACGGGGTATACTTGGAGCTTTTCAAATAACTCAAAACAGGATCGACACAAGCTCTGCCTTTCAAGTTGAGCCTGGCCCCGAGATCCCACTCAAGCCCCCTCACAACAGCCCTACGTAACAACGAACGAATCAACTTAGGCGAACACCCAGTAAGTTTGAGCTACTCCCCAAGATCGGCCACCAGGATCCCGAACGCGGGCATAAACCAAGAGATGCGCTCAAATGATTTCCTGAGGGCCGTCACTGGGCCCGACACACTTCGCCACAACGGAGATTCACCCTCGAAACCCGCTTGCCACGCAGCTCTGAGCTCGGGCAACGTAAGGGTGTGGCGGTACAGTCGGTGATGAGCCCACCAGGTCTCCTTAGACCAACGAATGATAAGCGCCACGCTAGCATACCAGCACGGCTCGTCGTGCGCCAGCAACTACGCCGTCAAAGAACGGCTCTTGGCCGACGGCTGCAGCACAACTCCCGCCTGACGCCGATACGTCAACAATTCAAAGCCGCTAACTCCGTGGACCTCGAACCCGAACAGCTCCGACGCGAGGGCTCCCGATGCGAACACATTGCGGGCAACGCGGCCCCCCACAGTAGACCTCAAACGGGCCAACCTGGAAACAAACCCCGAAGTTTTGGCCTCACCTTTTTTTGTGTTTAAACACCCCTTCCTTTGACGCGACGGGGTCACCCAGCACAGTCGTCCACCCCGAGATTCGGCGCAGACGAGACAAGCGGGCCAGGCAGCCCTCCAAGCTTGGCAGCCAGCTCTCGTCCCAGCGCCTTAGACGAACAGATGAGCGATCTCTTCCCCTCATCCTGGCTAACTTTGGCTCTCACCCCGGCCTCCAAGACCGAGTACAACTGACGCGCGACAGGCGGCAGGCTGGAGACGATGTATTCCTTAGTCCCCGTGGCGCTGACTCCCGAATTGTCAATGTACAACTTAAAGTGGACCTGGGGGGGATGACCAACTTATCCAGATCCAAAGTAGCATACACTCTAAAAAAACTCGTGGCCAACGTGCAACCCGCGATGATTCCCCCTTTGGCCCAAAAGGGCCCGTCCACAAATCCGTTGAGGACAAAAAACCGAGCCTGGAGGTACATCGCTATCGCCAGGCGAACGATAGCAAGCGGGAAATGCAGCTGCCTAACACGCCACAGGAGTATCCTCAAGTTGATGGCCTCGTAATACTTATAGAGGTAGAGTAACACCGTAGCCGCTTCCTCTTTGACAAGGGTGGACGTCTCAGCGCGAACCGCCTGCCTCCAGACAACGTCCTGAGCCCCCTTCCAAGGGCCCCGCAGCGAAGTATTCCCTGGCATGGGCGAACTCCCACTCTTGGGCCAGCGAGCGGCGGACTTTCCCGTACGCTCGGTACAGGGCGCAGACATTCCCTATTGGTCGAAATCCCGAAATCACCTGACGGATGATGGTGAGCAGAGTGACGGAGACCTGGACAGGGATAAGGGCGGTGAGCTCCATGAGCGCGAACATATCCGCGACCATCAGCAGAAGGGCATCGATCAAAAACGCGAAAAAAATCATGTGGAAGCTATCCACACTGACCAAGGCATTATTCTTGAACTTACTGGACAATTCTCGCATGCCTTCCACAGGCACAGGGGGGAGAGGGGGGGCCAGCTCGCTAACTTCGAACCATCTCCATCTGCCGTCCACACCATCCCCCACAACTTAGAAAACTTGGTAGCCTCCGCCTTGAAGAGGGAAGGAGGAGGAGGAGGAGGAGGAGGAGGAGGAGGAGGAGAAAGAGGAGGAGAGGCGGAGAGGAGGAGGAGGACAGGAGGAAAGGAAAGAAGGGAGAGGACGTGAGGAGGAGAGGAAGAGGAGAAGGAGGTGAGGAGGAGGAGGAAATAGGAGGGAGAGGGAGGAGGAGGAGCGGAGGAAAAGGAGAGAGAGAGAGGAGGAGGAGGAGGGGGAAGGAGGAGAGGAGATGAGGAGGAGTAGGAGAGATAGGAGAGGTAGGAAGGAGGAGGAGGGGAGGAGGAGGAGGAGGAGGAGAGGAAAGAGGATGCAGGGAGGAGAGGAGGAGAGGGAGAGGGAGAGGGAGAGGAAGAAGAGGAGGAAGGAGGAAAGGAGGAGGAGTAGAAAAAGGAGGGGAGGCTAAGGAGGAGGAGGAGGAGGAGGAGACGGGCGCAGGGCGCGGGGCATGGCCTCGGCCGTGGGCCCGCCGCCGTCGCCCCTGCCTCGTCGAGTGCAGGGGCGGCCGCTGCGGCGGCAGCGTGTGGCCGGCATGCTGCTCTGCAGCTGGCCTCGGCCGTGGGCCCGCCGCCGTCGCCCCTGCCTCGTCGAGTGCAGGGGCGGCCGCTGCGGCGGCAGCGTGTGGCCGGCATGCTGCTCTGCAGCTGCGGGCGCACGCTGCGGCTTCCGGAGGAGGAGGACGAGGAGAGAGAAGGAGAGGAGGAAAAGAAAGGAGGCGGCGGGGGGAGGGGAAACGGAGGAAGAAGAAAGAGGTGAGGAGGAGGAGGGGGAGG